GCCCCGTCGCTGCGCCCCGACTCGGGGGCGGCATGAGCCCCCGGCCGCAGCCCTAGCGCCCGCTCCTCCGCCCGGGCGGCCCGGCTGCGGTGACGGGCGCTCCTGCAGGGGTGGGGGCCATGAAGCCGAGTGCGGCCGGGACGGCGAGGGAGCTGGAGCCGCAGGCGCCGGCCCGGGGCGAGCCGCGCGCGGCGGAGCCCGAGGGGCGCTGGCGGGAGAAGGGCGAGGCGGACACGGAGCGGCAGCGCACCCGGGAGCGGCAGGAGGCCACGCTGGCCGGGCTGGCTGAGCTGGAGTACCTGCGCCAGCGCCAGGAGCTGCTGGTCCGGGGTGCCCTGCGTGGCGCCGGGGGCGCTGCGCCCCGCGCTGGGGAGCTGCCGGGGGAGGCGGCGCAGCGCAGCCGCCTGGAGGAGAAGTTCTTGGAAGAGAATATCTTGCTGCTGCGGAAGCAGTTGGTAAGCGGTGCCTGGAGGAAGGGGCACGGCTGTCCCTGCACGGGGACTGGGGTTCGGGCAGGTGGCCTGGGGGTGGGCGCGAGGGCGCCTCTGGCCGGGGAGCCGCTCCACGTTCCGGGACCCCCATTCCTGCGTGGGCGCGCGCGGCGCGTGGGCCGCCGTCGCCCACGCGTTCCTGGCGTGTCCCCGCTTTGTGTCAGGTGAGGGGCTGGCGACCCCGCGCGGATTGCCGGGAGGGGTGGCAGCCCTCCCCTCCCGCTCTGCCTTCGGGATTCTTGGAGTCGCCTGGTTGTAACCTTCAAATCTCTCCACTTCGACGAATGCAACGCCCCTCTCCCCGAATGTTTGCAAACCCTCCTTTAAAATACCCTATCTTTTGGAGGTCTTAGCTTCGTGTCCTCCCGCCGAGAAGGGACAAAAGCCGAGGAGGGGGCTTGTGGCGAGGTTAACTGTCCAATGCAGAATTTTACGATTACGCGGAAGCGCACGTAGGGCGCCCTGCCACTCCCAGGGCTCTCCCCCGCATGCCAGCTTTTGCCCGGGCTGCTGCTTAATTTCATATAGAAGCCCTTTGTATGAAGCAGCTAACACAGATGCAAATGGTAGAAATTTGGCTGGGGAAAGTGCCCCGTCCCCTCATATTTTATGTGACTGGTGGTGGAGGGGGAAGAAGAGAGAACCTGCTCTTAAGACAGCGTTTATCTTACTGGATTTCCGTCAGCGTCTCAGTCAGCCATCCTGTGCCATCTTCATTAATGGGGAAGGAAAAGAACTTTGGCGCTTAATGTATTGATGAACAGCTTTTGACCCCGCCTCAGAATAATGGCGGCAGCTTTGTTACAGTGACCTCAAAAATGTAGTTTTGAAAACGGAGGAAAAAAAAATCTTTTTTGGCCATGTGATACTGTCTGAAACTAGGCGCATGCTAGATAATGTCCCTCCTCCTCCAACAGCGAACATAGTGATGCCGTGTGGTTATTTGTCAAAGGGTTTCTTGTATTATGTCTTTTCAGATAATTTCTCTCTCTCCAGTCTCTCCCTCTCTGTCTCTCAGCATCACAGTACTTTTACTTTGGTTCATTTCTCCTGAAGAAACTCATTGTAGTAAAAAGGCATATAAGGTTTTTGTCTACAAGCTTTTTAAATCAAAGGACGGACAGGAGGAATAGATACTCCTGTTACATCTGTTTTTCAAGGATGTATCCTGCTTTGTACAATACCTATTTGGCATTTTACCTTTTCTTTGGTCGCTGACCAGATGTGCATGTAACATTGGTTTGACTCCATTCTTGCTGTTGATGCCTTGTCATTGACATTTTTCTGCATTGTCTTTTACAATAGCCCCTTTTTGTCTTCACGAATCTCAAGATTGTGAGTGGCACATTCCTCTTGTCCCCTGGAGGGGAGCAAGGCAGCACGTCAGGAGAATTTCAGTCCAGTCAGTGTTTGTGGTACTATTTTCATGTGTAGACTTGGCATTCGCGATTTGAACCAGATGCCTTTTTGGTCCTTTTGCTTTTCCAGCAATAGGAAGCACTAGGTGGCAGTGTGAGTTAGCACTACATATCTGTCATCTCTGGAAACCTGAGTTGAGTTCAAATCTTGATGGACCTTCCCTTGAGGGTTTTGGATTTTGCTAGCTCACATTATACTTGGCACTGGCTATTAGTATTCGTTTCTCACTTTCAAAGGCCCTAAGACTGATTAAACCCCACAAAGCAACTAATAGAAGACAAAACTCTGCAGGACATTTGGCCAGAAAATCTCACCTAAGTAAGGGTATAGTGTATTGTAGGGAATCTGTTACACTCTGACTTCAAATTAAAGAGTCTGCTGTGAAGCACTGTTTTGCAAGAAATTGGGTGTACATAGAGGATTTAAAAGAATCTCGTTGTGTTTTCTTATCCTTAACCTATACAAAGTGAGTTTGTGTAAGTTGAAACAAAAAGCAAGTCCTGTTTTTATGAAGAAACTTTATAGCACCGCAAAATGAAAGAAAGTGAAATGAAACATAGGACATATTCTTGAAGTTTTTTTTGTTTTGCTTTGTTTTGTTTTTTGTGTTTATTTTTGTGTTTTTTTTTTTGTTTGTTTGTTTTTTTTAATTTCAGGTCATCCAGTAAAATTTTTGGTTTTGGAAGATTTAGTGAACTTTCCAAATGGCAATTTGAGTACTTAGAGCAGACTTTCTGATTCTTTGTCACCTAAATGTGTTCATTTCTGCCCCCCGCACCCCCCAATCAGAATTGTTTGAGGAGAAGAGATGCTGGTTTGTTGAATCAGTTGCAAGAACTTGACAAGCAGATAAGTGACCTGAGACTGGATGTAGAAAAGACATCTGAAGAGCACCTGGAGACAGACAGTCGGCCCAGCTCAGGTGAGTGTGTGACACTAGGACAGAATTCTGCACTTGAGTTCTGCTTCATTCCACTGTTTAACTTTCCCAGACCTGCAAAAGGCAATGGAGTTTGTTTCTAGTGCAGAGAGAATTAAAAAAAAAAGCAGTCTGCCATTCAGTTGTATGAGAGGGAAATAAAACCAGATGACCAAATTTTTAATAATGAGATTGATCTGACTGGAGTCTCCTGAGTTTAAAAATAAAAGCTTCTATTCAAATTTCTGGAAGAGCAGTCCTCCTTTGAAACTTGAGAAAGTCAGAACTGGGCTAGAAAATTAGTCACACTTCAACTTCCTGAGACCACTTCAAAAGTTTTTTTTTTTTTTTCTTCTTCTTCTTCTTCTTTTAAGCCATTTGGCTCCTTAAATAGATTTTTTTCTTCAAATTATTCTTTCTGAAACATTCATGATAAAGTTGGGGCTTTGACAGATCTAAGTCTCTTTCCTTGCACATCTTTAAAGGTGGGGTCAAAAAGGCAGGTCAGTTTGAGGGTGAGAGTAGCTTTGAAATGTATCCATAGATATGGGCTCTTTGCCTTTTCCTAAGGATTACTTGAAATAAAACTTGAAATTCACACTAAATCCAGTGAACCAGAATCTCTCCCCACCCCACCAAAGTGTCCCCTTCCTACCTTTTCTAGATGATTAACCCTTTTCCTTTTAAACACAAATGTATGCTATTGCTTGACATGATCTTAATTCCAAATGGTGTTTTTATTTGTAGGGTTTTATGAGCTGAGTGATGGGGCTTCAGGATCCCTTTCCAATTCCTCTAACTCGGTCTTCAGTGAGTGTTTATCCAGTTGTCATTCCAGCACCTGCTTTTGCAGCCCCTTGGAGGCAACCTTGACTATCTCAGATGGTTGCCCCAAATCTGCAGGTAAGACTTTTTAGAATTGATAGACATTTTTAGCTGGAAAAGGTGAAAGGCCCTTAACGGTTATCTAGCTTTAACCCCTTCTACTGACAGAAAAACAAAAGGTCAGAGAAGTTCATCAACTTGCTACGTTTCATGACATAGCTTTATATTGTGATGGTAGCAAGACAGCTTCTCTTTAGAAATCCTGTCCCAATATTACAGGTCTTGAGCTCTGTTTGTGAGCCTTTGCTGTGAGTTTGACTTGTTTGTATTTCTTTGGAAAGCCACTTTGGATCTCTTTTTTTATAATCATTTAAAGCTAAAGCTTACAGTAAGTTAAATATGTCTGTCAGGCTGCTTGGCACTTCAGGGAGCAGTGGTCCCTCCACATTCTCCAGAATGTCTTGCGTGATGGCAGCTTGTCTTTTCTTTTAGGAGGTGGGTGGGATGAGATTCCCGTAGGCCGTGTGCCATTGTTTCCACTTTGGGCTATCCTTGGAGTGACCTCAGGAGAGAGTCATGCTATTGTCGGTATTGGAAGTTTCTGCATTTCCACTGTGTGTCAAACACGTACTGGATGCTCTGCATATATTTATCTCCTTTGAATCCTCCCAGTAGTTCTGCAGGGTGTGCAAGTCTTGTTAGCTCCTGTTTGTATGTCAGAAAAATGAGGTCTAGTTAGGTTAATTAACAGGTTCATTGTTTAAGGTTAATATACTAGCGAGTGGCAGAGGCAGGATTCAAGCTCAGGACCAGTTGTCAGGTCCATGTTTTCCCACCACACTAGGAATTCAGAAATTTCTGTGTTCAACCTTCTCATTGAACAGAGGAGGAATTTGGTTTTATAAAACAGTTCTCCAGGGGCTCCTCATTTTCTGAATGGCAGAATTGTTGCTGAAACTTGGGACTCCTTTCTTAGTTTTGCTTTACTGTGATTCCTCAGAAGAGCAGAGGGGATATGGAGAGCTGTAGGTGCTATAACACAAGTCACTGCACTCTTGGTTTGTCTGTGTTCTCCACTTGGGCGTAAGGCTGAACTTTTGAGATCCAAGCAATGCAAACATAACGCCAAACAACTGAGGCTGCTAAGTGGCTGGTGTCTTTGAGTTTGTACACTGTGCTGTCAGCAGCAATCATTTGGGGAAGCACACATCTGTGTTATCTAGAGTGTCTAGGCCTCAAGTTCATTGGTAATTGCTCCCCTTCACTCTGCAGATCTGGTTTCAGAGGGAAACTTTAAAACCCATTAAAGGCGTTTGGTATAGGTTTTCTTTGAAGACAGACTCCTGATCTCCCAAATGCCACATCTTCACATAATTGAGACAGTTGTACTGGGCCTTGGAGACTGAGATGTCGGTCTTGTTCCTTAACTGTAAGTTGGGAAAAGGGACAGAATAGTAAAGTGTGGGTAAATGTAGGGCAATGCTTTAAGTAGGGCGAGTATATGGTAGTAGAGGAGGAAAGATGAGCAACGATATTAGCTAGAAAGGTTTCTTCTCCTTGTTGCCATAAACTATTGGGAATGGAGGTGGGGGGTAGGGACACAGCACATTTTATATTATAATAATCTTTGCTTTACAAATGAATCGTATCATTACTGGGTCCAGACTGTATTTTTCCCCAGGACTTCTAATTATCATCGAAGGTCATGGAGCTTTCTCTTAACTTAAATAATTTACATAGAATCCGGCACATAGTAAGTTTTCAATATTTGAGTGAATAAATGTAATACAGGATATCTTAAGTAGTGATAAAAACTTTGATTTTCTCTAAGTTCATTAAAGGGATTTGATATTTACAACAGTCACCAAGGAAAGATATCAAAATCATTCAATTCAGCAAGAAAGCTTGATTTCATTGTATTTTGGCATTTACATTTTTGAGATGTGAAAATTTATTCATTAATACAACAGCTCAATCTCTTAAAACCGTATCAAGAATTCCTTCCCAGTTAAAAATATTGCCTTATTGGGGCGCCTGGGTGGCTCGATTGGTTGAGCGTCCAACTTCGGCTCAGGTCATGATCTCATAGTTTGTGAGTTCGAGCCCCGCGTCCGGCTCTGTTCTGACAGCTCAGAGCCTGGAGCCTGCTTCGGATTCTGTCTCCTTCTCTCTCTGCACCTTCCCACTTGTGCTCTGTCTCTCTATGTCTCAAAAATAAATAAATGTAAAAAAAAATTAAAAAATATTGCCTTATTTTTTCGTGTCATTCTTAAAAATATAAAGTGATAATTATTTACGTTTGGTTACTCTCCAGTGAAATTTGATCAGTTTCTTTGACCTTTCAACTGACAGTTATACTCGAACATATGTCATTAACAATTGAGCCTAAAAAAAAAAAAATGACGAGAAAGCTCAGAGAAAGTACAGTTTATCTGCAGTATTTCAAAAGGAAACCAAGAATAGAACACAGAGGGCCCAGAGAAAGAATGACTCAAAAAATAAGGTTTTTTTTTTCTAGTTATAAATGCAGTGCATACTTACTGAAAATTTAGAAAATAGAAAATGAAGAAGTAAGTAAATCTCACTTGCTTTCTCACTACACTGCAGTGCTATTGGCATCTTGGGGTGCTTCATCTCAGACTTTCTTTCTTTACATATATAGTCTGGCTAAAATCGTAATCATAGTCTGGTATATCATGCTTTTCACTAACCTTTAAAGCATATCCCCATGTTATTCAATAGTTTGAAAGGATTTTCCCTCAGAGGATGGAGGATGTATCATGTCTTGTTACAAATATCTTTGTTAAATATTTGTTTCCCTCATTCAGTAGTATGGGCTGTAGAGCAGCTTGCTCTCTCTCTCTCAAAAATAAATAAACATTAAAAAAGATTCTTTTTAAAAAAGGGGCGCCTGGGTGGCTCAGTCAGTTAAGCCTCTGACTTTGGCTCAGGTCATGATGTCATGGTTCGTGACTTGGAACCCCGCGTTGGTCTCTGTGCTGACAGCTTGGAGCCTGGAACCTGTTTCGGATTCTGTCTCCCTTTCTCTCTGCCCCTCCCCCGCTCTCTCTCTCTCTCAAAAATAAACAAACATTAAAAAAAAACAAAACAAAACAAAACTAGAACAAGCTTGTAGGAATAGTTGTTGATTCTTTAGCATTCTCTCTCTCCCCCCGTGAGTGTGTTTTCGTAGAAATTGGCCTGAGTCAAGCTGGTGCTGACCGATTCAGTTCTTCAGAGTGTATCCTTTAAATGTTTTTCAGATCTCCTAGGACGGTTGGAATACAAAGAAGGCCGCTGCGAAGACCAGGCCTCAGGGGCGGTTTGCCGTTCCCCCTCTACATCACAATTTAATTCCCTTGGTGTCATTGCAGATGTGCATCCCAAGTACCAGTGTGATCTGGTGTCTAAAAACGGGAACGATGTGTATCGCTATCCCAGTCCGCTTCACGCCGTGGCCGTGCAGAGCCCCATGTTTCTCCTTTGCCTGACGGGCAACCCTCTGAGGGAAGAGGAGAGGCTTGGTAACCATGCCGGTGACATCTGTGATGGATCTGAGCCGGACGCCATCAAGACAGCCACTTCCTTACCATCTCCAAGCAGTTTGTGGTCTGCTCCCCATCCTTCGTCCAGTAAGAAAATGGACGGCTACATTCTGAGCCTGGTCCAGAAAAAAACACACCCCGTAAGGACCAACAAACCAAGAACCAGTGTGAACGCTGACCCCACGAAGGGGCTTCTGAGGAACGGGAGCGTTTGTGTCAGAGTGACCGGGGGCGTCTTACAGGGCAACAGCGGGAACCTTAAGAATCCTAAACAGGTGCTTTTGCCCCCTGGCGGAGTCCCTTCTTTGGACAGTGGGACGTTCTCCCCGCCGAAGCAGTGGTCCAAAGACTCAAAGGCAGAACCACTGGAAAGCAAGAGGTTGTCCCCGCCGGAGGGCGCTGCCGCTGAACTTCCAAGTAAGCATGTGCCCAAGAATGCCAAGCCAGCTTCGCAGGAACACGCTCGGGGGCCCGCCGCAGTGACGGGGGACTCCCCCAGAGACAGCATTCAGGTCCTCGCTGCCTCTCCGAAGGAGAGCCCTGGGAGGGGCCCGGCCCCGCCGCAGGAGAACAAAGCTGGGCAGCCGCTGAAAAAGGTGCCCCAGAAAGGCGGCCTGCCGCCCGCCCCTCCGGCAGCGCCCCCTGTCGCCCCCGCGGCGCTGCTGGCCGCGGCTTTCGCGGTGGAGGAGCGGCCCGCGCTGGATTTCAGGAGCGAGGGCTCCTCTTCGCAGAGCCTGGAGGAAGCGCCCCCCGTGAAGGCGCAGTC